TTCTAGATGGTTGTAATTTTGTTGACAATCTAGATCTCAACCTCTATATTTGTTAAGTGCGTCGTTTCAGGCAGTGCTTGTCTATTAATTGCAGCATGTCGATGCTTTACTTCTTGCGTTCTTTTTCTTAACATATTTTGGTCATTTCATCACTTCTCAAGTACTGATGAAAGATTTCAGCTTTCTACTTCAACTGTTGCTCAGTTTATTTCTTGCAAAATTTATTGGAACTGTTAGAGGAGGGATCATTGGGCCAATCAGGGTATCTCATGATTGATTAGAAGAGGAAATGGGAAATAACCAGGGTGCGATACATAAGCGCGAACGTACTCAGGAAGGTCAGCAGAGGACACGACTTTGGAGTGGCAGCGCGTCAACGCCTCTCGGAAGTGGAGGTAGTGTTGCAGAAGATGGATGTCCTGTTCAAGTAAGCTTAATAATTTGCTACTTTGAGCAAGCCGTCATTGGTAGTAAAATGGCTTTTTTGCTTTTTTAGCTTAGAGGCGTCAGACACAGTGGTTCCCCAGTTAAACCGTCCCATAGCAGAGGGATTTGAGAGGGCAGCAATTTATCCCCATCCATGACTGATACAAATAATGCAGGGGTGTTGGTAGGCTTCAGATCTTAAAAGGGTGATTTGAAATGAAAAGTTCTGGGCGTTGGGGGCAGGAACTCAGTTTAAGGTTTCGATAAAGTTTAGTTGCTGTATTTGCTTAATCTTTTAAAGTGCTTTATAGGAGCATTTGTTTGACTTTCTCGTTACAAATCAAGAAGTCAAAATTTTTCCTTCCTAGCTAAATGGGGTAGAAGTCATGAGCTAGTTTTGGCAACGAATTATATCTGATACCTTGGAAGTAGGGAAGTCTCAAAAGTATGCTGCGAGGTATTGTTTTTTAGCGTAATCAATGATTAACTGCATTTTAGGTGAAGATTGCTAAAAGCGATGGTTCTTGTTCTACACCAAGTATACAATTTACCGAAACAAATGAGTATCCGGTAGTCTTTAAATGGAAAGGAGGAAGTCAAACTAAGGCGGTTTACGTATCAGGATCGTGGGATGGTTGGAAGCGAAAAATTCCTTTGGTAAAGTCAACTTCAGATTTCTCAACTATAATAGATCTTCCTCAAGGTAATTACTATGACTTTCCGCACATGTCTTAGATGCATGTTTAGCCATCAGACAGCTCAAATAAATTTGGATTGTGAGATGCCTTGACACTTCAGGGAAGCATGAGTATAAATATTTGGTGGATGGTAAATGGATGGTTGATGAAAGTGTGCTGAAGACCGAGAATAAACTTGGCAGCCAGAACAATGTTATTGCCATAGATGAAGCGGATTTTGAGGTTGTTATATCTTACTGATATTGTTTATATTCAGTTTGACTCACTTTGGGACATCATTTGTTTGCTAGCATGCCAGTTGTCTTTATAGATATTCATAGTCTACATCGGCAAGGGGGGGCTCGAGTAATGTCACTAGTCTTTGTTGTAACATTGTTTATGTGGAGGTTTCTGCATTGACTGTTTTGTAATGGATGGTTGTTTTGTATTTTGATCTGTGTCATCTTTGGAACCTCGCGTTCTTTTATTAATTTACTTAAATGTCGTTTTTTTCCTATATCTTTACTGCAGGTTTTCGATGCACTTGATCGAGACTTAGCCTCTTCGAATGCTGGTGAGGCAATGAGGAAAGTAAGTGTTGCTGGAGCACACCCTCCCTCTCACGATACGCCCAACGACAGAGAATTAGAAAAACTTAAGCAGTACACTCAGGAAACTCCGGACCGTAGGGATTTCGAAAAGGCCCAAAATCCTCCAGTTTTACCGCCTCATCTTCTCCAAGTATATTTTTTTCAGATTATAGCTCTAAATGAAGTGTTTTCAGAGTTAACATTCTACTTATTTTAAGGTTATTTTGAACAAGGATACTCCTGTGCAGTGTGATCCAAATGTGCTTCCAGAACCAAATCATGTAATGTTAAACCACCTTTATGCGCTTTCAATCAAAGATGGTGTTATGGTATTGTCAGCTACTCATCGCTACCGTAAAAAATACGTTACTACTCTTTTATACAAGCCTATTTAAAGTTACGCTTAATAATTTAGAGATTTTCTCTTTCATTTCTTTGTCATTTTGAGTATTTTTTCTTTGCAACGATCTTCACATATTCAACTTTACAGTTCTGTTTATTTCTGCTTTATTCTGCTTAACGTCGTTGTTTTTATTTTGCTTAATGTGGCGTGCTCATTGGTTCTTTTCTAAATTATTTTCTGAATTTATTTTCTATCTGGAGTTTCATTATAGAGCAGATTTTGTCCATTAACTATTTGTTTGGTTATTTGCGGGAAACAAGTTACGTTGGAACGGTCGTTTATCGTTTAATTTTTTATAGCTGTACTTACCTAATAGAACTTTAAGTGTTAAAGATTCTTTTGGGTTTGTGTTTTGAGTCTTTAAATTATTTGTGGTGCTAATTTGGCTTAAAGAAAGCTTTTTTTTAGGAAGGAAAAAGTTTGTTGTTTCACTTCGGTTTTACTGACGTAAGGTAAGGGTTTTGAGAGTTGACGGTTTCACCATTTTCTTTCCCATTATCCTTTTTCTAGCTTTAATTTTGTTTACGCCATTTCATCACTTTTGCGGTGGTCAACTTTTTTCATTTGTTGTTGGTCGCTCTACGCGATTTTGTACATAAGAATTACGACATGTACTTTGTAGTTTTTATTGTCTTGTTTTGCAGTAGTCGTTCTTGTGCTCATGTATGGGTTGGTGCTTCTATTTTTGGGGATTTCTGCAATTTTTTCATTTTTGTAACTCTTTTAAGCATTATTTGATTGTACATTTGGAATTCCGTTGATCTACAATTTTCACAACATTGAGCGTATTTCCATTAACGGAAAAGTCGTTTTACTCTGTGCCGTCATGAGTGTAAGTTGTGCAAATGAATCAAAACGTGGATCATTTGTCCTGATATTGTGGTGGCTCTAAACTTTCTTTTTCTGCTGTAAAGGCCTCCTTATTTGCAGGAAGAAGGATATGGAGTGTTTTGTTGTATTTGTGATTTAAAATTAAAATTTTTACTGAAGTTTAGATTCTTGAGGTCCTCTCTTTTCCTTGCCCGTTGGTCGGCATGTAGTCCAATTGTGCAAGTTTTGACAGTGCTCGTTCATTTTTCAGTGTAGTGTTGGGGAAAAGCAGTTTTGGCATTTAGTGTTTCTGGAGGTCCTGTCAGACGTGATTTATCAAAAGGTCTAGATCCCTCTGGGGAAGATTATTTTGACGTTGGAATAACGGGTGGATGTTGAAGGGGAAAGTCATACAGTTTTAGTGAATGTTGGATGGGTCGTGTCAGGTAGTATTAGTACAGTTAAGTTATTCGCGGTTTTCCTCCATTAGGGCACAAAAGTTTTACGTTATGGAAAAAACGGGGCACTTGGTGGCCAGCTAATGCTTTAAGGTGTGATTGGGTGTTATGCGTTAGTGCAGGTTTGAACCCTTGTAAGGTAGTGTGCTGTCAGCTTTTTTCGCGAGGGAATTGTCGTTGCTTTTGGATATTGTTATTTGGTTTGGTCATTAAGGTTTCACCAAGGTATGGGTGCGGTAGTTACCGAATCTTATTTTTTTAGTTCGGAAAGGTTGGAACTACTGCGGAATTGGCATGGCGCTTTGATTATAGACTGCTGTGGGCTTTTTTATTTTTGAAGGAATGAGTAATGAAACATGAACGGGTCGTGGACTTTTGCACAGAGTTGGGAAGTGACAGATATGCAAGATAGTTGGGACCAGCAAGTGGTGGAATATGGCTTTTGTTTCATCATTCAGGTGGGCTTTTTATAACGCTGCTTGCAAGGAGAATTTAGTGGGCCGGAGGGCAACCTTTATACGAGGTTGGAGTCAAAGTTTGGAGGGCTGTTTTAGTGTACGAAAGTGGCGCATACTTATGATGAGTGGAGAGTTTTGGTGAAACCTGAAGAGGAGAATACATACACCTTGCTTGTCACTCTCGATTTGTCAGTGAATAGGACCAACTACACGGTTTGGTTTTTAAGAATTATACGCTCAGCATTTGCGGTAATTTTCGTCAATCTTGTGAGTAGGTTTTCGAGGTCGAAAGTGTTTCATCCCCTGGTTCTTTGAAAGTTTGGGACCTTGCAGGTGGAGAAGGATATAGTAGAAAGTGAATGTGTAATCCTAAAGGAAAAACGAATTCATGAGCCAGATGTAACTGTTTCATTCCGATTCCGGGTGATCGATACATTAGCTTCGCAAAATCTCACCATTGAAACTCCTTATCGCAACTTTGAGTTAGTGGTAAGGCTTGGTTCGTAAAATTAAAAGTATGAGATTTTACTCACTTTAAAACTATTTATGCAGCTGTTACATACATTAGCTCTGGCTTCATTAGTAATGAGGTGCATTGAGGATTTTTAAGAACTCGTGACAATTTCAGTGTGAAGAGAAGTCATTTTTTGTTGATGTCGGTTATCTATCGTCTCTTGGAGGGAAATTGTTTACTGAATGGAATGACGACTTTCGGAAAGGTACGACGCGTAAAGTGGTAGTGGACCTGACTTTAGCTGAGCTACAGTGTTTATTAGATGGTACAGCAAAGTGTCGGCAAATCCTTGTTACACGGCAAGTTATTATAGTATTTCCAGTTTGTTTTTTTCCTTTACCTTTAATTTGGATATTGGAACTTTGAACGTTTTTATGCTTGAAAAACAAATATTTGAGTGTATTTTTGGCTGGAATACAGAAATCTCATATTAGTAATATTTAATAAATAGAAGAAACTATGATGAACTTCTTCAAATTGCTTTTCGTCTTGGAATTGGACAAGTTTTACGAACGGTTGAAAGCTTTTTGATCGATGCAACTTGGATACACCCTATTCGAAAACTTGAATTCGCAGTTATATACAAGTGCTTTTTTTTGATTATTGTTCTTAGTATGTCAGATTTAAATGTTTATGTCACGTAATTGCCACTGATTATCTTAGGCTTGCCCGTCTCGGAGATTGTGTCTCTCGAGACGTTATTGCGTCTGGTACCGCTGTCGAGACACTACACAATTATTTATCAGAGAACTCCGAAACTTTAGAGCAGGTAGTACCGAGTACTATGGGTCAAGCTCATCCTTTTAAAACTGACGTTTTAGATAAAAAAAATAGCATTTTCTTCAAGGTTCGTACTGCAGCTAATGATGGTCACCAATTACTATTTAATTTTTATTTTTTGAACATACTTCTTGCAGGTCCATCCTGATGTGTTACTATCGCTAAATATTCACCCGGACTATGTTCTACTGTAGAAAATACGTAAGAAAGTAGTCGCTTTTGCTGGACCAGCTAAGAAAGTGTAACACTTGTCAGTTGATTTGGTCGAGCGAAAATCGATTATTCGCACGAATATCTGCAAATGAGTTGATCATCACTGTACTGTACTCTTTTATCTGTAGTTATTACTTTATGAACTTAACAGATAATCATGATTTTAACAGTTTGAGTTGTACGACGGTAGCGGCGAAAGTCTGCTCTTCTTGACTGTTATACAATTACTGGAGACTGAAAGAGTACTAGTTTTGCTTGCAGATAATCGATAACAACTTGCAGATAACAACCTGTCCTATGTTTAAAACACTAAAAGTGAGAAGGAAAGAGTGCGTTGCCTTTTAACAAAATTCTTATTATTTGTATAACTCCTTTACCTTCTTTTCGCTTTTGTTCCAGCTCTTCCGGAAGTCACCTCAGCAGGGTGTTTTACCAGCATGGTTTAATTTGCAGCCTGCTTTACGATTAAAACTGATAGCCTTTTTCATTACCGCTTCTGGATGCTTTCACCAGTCGGCCTGCAGTTTTTGATTTTTCGCATTGTTTCCACATTTTTAGAGTATTCCCACTGTGTGTATTGTTATGAACCCCTCAGGTTCTGATTTAGTTGGCAAGCAAATCATTCATTTATTGAGGGAGGTTGTTTCTTTTGCTCTTTCAGTCGCAAAAAATCACGAGACATCTTGAATTCATTTTTTGCTTCATCTTTCGTTTCGGTTTCTACTTCTCTAGTATATCGATGGGGATTTTATAAGAGAGAATTCATGAGTTACATGAGGTCTTAAGTGAAATGTTGAGCAGGACGGCTTTAGGTTTACTGAAAATACTGAAAATATATTCCATGAAGAATGGTTTTTACTTTGTTATGGTTGTAATACAGGGGAGCATATTATTTCCTAGCCCTGCCACAGCCTATTTTGGACAGGCCTTTGTAATTAATTTTTTATCTTGATTTATCTTTTCGAAATAAAATCCTCAAAAATTTTGCTCCGTAAGATCTCATGCCTAGCACTTTTCGGTCAAAAGAAGCTTAGGTTCCTCGTGTTATTTATGGATGGCTTCTTTTAATTTTAGACTGTCTTCTGTTTAGCTGCGTCTTCTTTTGGCTTTTCACGAGGTAAAATCTTTAGTGAATCTAAAAACTTGCAGAAGTGATGCATTGTTGTGTCAAATTAAAAATGAAATCACCTTCTAGAATTTTTTCTTTCACTTCTTTACGCCATCAGATCTCTTAAGTTAAGTAAGAGGTCTGGCGATTTCGATTGTCAAGCTTTTTGATAAACGACAGCTGATAATTACAAGGGATTAGGTACACCGTCCCTAAAGCAGGTGAATAAAGTTTGTTTTACCTTTTTAATGTGACCTTACAGCAAGAGTTATGAGCGAGAATAACAATTTGCACTACAAAATGTCATTTGCCAGTATTTCCGACACTGGTGAAGTTTCACACAAACTAAAATCTCCTTTTGCAAATGAATAAATATTTTTCCAATTGCTGGCTTTCAAGCGATCAGTGGCTGCACACTTAGAAATCGTACAAATTTTTATGAACAAATAAAGTACTTTCCTGCAGAAGTACGGAATTCACAATCGAGTTCTCAAACTGACGAAACGCCGCCAGAGCTCATCCCAAGTGTGCTTTAACGTGAACTCTGGCAGATAAAATCAGGTCATCTGTGGAAAAAACTGGACGATTCGGCTGAAATTGGGTGGCAAACACATGGACTCGAGTGTAGAGAAAGACAGCATCAGTAACTTTACTGAGAACCACTGATAACAACGCCGCTTCAACTCTGGAATACTTTGGCATCTGACAGGTGGAGTACGCCACACAACAACAACGCCTCCGTTTCATGATGCAGCCGAAGTGATTATACACTGCGCTCGCTGCTGTATAGATACAGCTGCCGACTGGTTGGATACAATTTTAGACGGGTTTTACTAGTGTCGCTTTTCAAGTACACTTTAGTGCAGTGGCGAGGAAATTATTTCATTCTCGCAAGAAAAGAAATAATTACAGCAATAAAGTCAAAATTATTTCTCACTAAGGAATCTTTTGTAAAACGTTGTTGAATAAGGAGAAAATGTTTATATATAAAGATTTTGGTGCATATAGTGACTGTAATTTTTTTTTCCTCACTATCTATTACTTGTGAGTCCCATCCTTGAGGAACTGAGCTTGTGCATACCATTGGTGTTAAAAAACTTCAACAATGACCGTCTCTAAAGTGTATAACTGCTGAATCAATTGGTATTAAAGTAAATCATTTTAAGAATTGTTACCAGTTTTCAAACATGTGCTGTGGTAGCGTTGCCGGAAACACTTGGCCACTCACTTATTTTTCAGAAAAGCTGAATTATTAAAAGCAGACCTCCGCAAAAACATTTCATAAAAATGTCTTTTTTGAAAGGAAGATCAATGAATTGGATCTGATAATTTTAGTGCCCAAAGGAAGAAAAGACAACAGGCAACCAGTGCTCGCTACTCGGCTGACTTTGGAAATTCAATTTACCAAAATGCAAAGTTTCCTGTATTTGATCTATTTGACAAGCAACGAGGAACCTAGGTTATAAGAGTGATATCAATAACAAGACAGCTTAGGAAAATCCGTTTTTTTTTTTCAGCTTTTTTAGAAAAAAATCTTATATTCGGCCAATATTATTTGGCTAATCTGCATGTTCTTCGCAGCTAATATCCTGATCGGCCCAGTTCCTCAGCAAGGCAAAGCAGCACATTTCAACACTGGCTGTTAGAGTCAAGAACGAGGACGGAGGAGTACTGCAAATGTTGATTTGGATGTCCCCGTTCTATATGGGAAAAGCACTGTGCAGTAGTTTTGTACGTTTTGGTTCCCAGAGAAACGTGGAAAAAGCGGCAATGCTTCTCGGATTTAAAAACACGGTTTGCTGAAAAAATTCTCGAAGATCTTCGCGAGCAATCGCATTGATTATCAGTTGATTATTACTTTGTTCTTTTTCCATTTTGGTTCGGTACTGCGGTCGAGCGGTAAAGCAAGCAGTTATTTTTTCTACCAAGCGTGTTAGCTTTTCTTTCCTAGTTGGTATAATAGCTAAGTTTCTAACAGGCTATTCGTTGTTGATTCCCATTGAACCACCACTAACAGCAAACGGAAGGAGATGCTTCTTTGCGCTACACCATCTTTAAACTTGCTTTTTTTAACTACCAACCTTCTTTCAATTTTTTGTTTTTTTGTGGGGTGGGGAGAGAGCCGGAGAAGGAGTTCTCAATCTTGCCTAATCCATCTGCAATAATCCCACTTTTTTTGATTTCCTCACCCTGGTTTTCTGAAGATCTAATTCTCACTTTCGTTTTAACTTTTTTAGCTTTTCATAATACAGTTTTCTAGGTGGTGGTTGATTTAGTGAATAAGTAAAGCAGTTTTGTAAAGTAAATTCGTTAGGACAAGCCTTCTCAAGAATTACCGTCCATTCCTTCGCGATTACTTTTAATGCTAAGGTTACTGCAAATGATGCAAAAGATAGCAGCGATATCTAAATGGAAACACATTAAAGACTGGTGCCAGCTAGATAGTAATAAAACAATTAAAAATCGCATATTCGCGAAAGCCGATCATTTAAAACGTATCGAAAAAGGGAGAGAAGCTACGGCATAGTGATTTGCTTCTTGAAATGACCGGCCAGCTGATTCTTCTTATAACTGCTTGATTTTGTTTAATTGAAATTTGATTTACTATCAATTGTTATTTTTGTGATACTTGTTACTATGCATTGTGGATACTCGTACTTTATAAACCAATATTTTTGAAAGTAAACTTTGTTTTTTTTGTAATATGGGATTAATTTCCTAAGTTAGACACATTCTCACGAATTCATCAATACCGTATAGACGCAGAAATAATAACACAATAAATTACAATCTGTTCCGTTAATATTCATAACCAAACATGATCCTAAAGAACTTTTTTGACTTATTTTACGTATAGGTACTTATCTCACAAGGACTGTCCCAAAAAATTCAGTAATTTTTAACGCGCTAAAGGCTCTGTTGTCTTTTAAATGCAAACTTGCATGTACAGTACGTGGCAGCCGACCTGAGCCCTCAACCTCAACTAGGGGTTCGATACCAGGCATCACTGCACCTTAAACCGCTTCATGCAGCTTCGTTATGGATGTTGCATAAGTTTTATTTCTCTCCCATCAATACACTAATTTCAAAACAAAACTGCTTACGTCCAACAATCCTCAAAGTAAAGTCTTTAAACATTTTTTATATCCATTATGTGCCATTACTTTTTCCAACCCCCTTTTCTTACTGTCACTCTTCTCACTGACCACTCTGTTCCCCTGTTTTCACTATATAAGAACTTGACCCGACCATGAACAATCGCTGTTGTTTATGAGGACCTTTAGGACTGATCCCTCTCAAAAACAACGATAAATTTACGTAGAAAATTTTTTTTTTTTTTCAAAAAAAAATCTACTTCTTTATTTTAAATTTCTTTTTAAATTGTGGCCACCCTTTTACCTCCGTAATCCTCTTACTTTCCAAGAGACAACCTCAAAGGTTAGTTGCACAATACGCCAACTGCGGAAGACCTTAAATGTGTTTAAGCAGATCCGTCGCTTAAGCAACTCTCCTTAATTAGGGTGTGTGCTGGTCCTTTTCTTATAGGAACGCTTATGAGCTGGCATTAGTAAAAAAACTTAGCGAAAACCATTTTGGTCTCAGTCTTAGCCCAAACATTTATAGGCTTCAATGCCACTAACACAGACATTTAAAAACCTCGCTTAGCTTTGGAAAATTATATGACAGAACTTCCATCACATCCAGTGAAGCACTCAAACATGATGTATAAAAAATTAAAGCGTAATCCTTCAAGTGCACCATCGCTTACGTTTTCAAACCGGTATGACGAGCGAAAGAAGCTGTGTTGTACAAAAGAGTAACACTGTAAAAGTGTGTTTCATTGTTTCCAAAATTGGATAATTCAAAAAAATAATAATAATAAAAATAAAAACAAAAAATAATAGCAATAACAGTAATAATAATAAACTACATGAAAAGACTGAATGAAAAGTTGAATGACGCGTTGGAGTGATTGCTGCGACACCCCGCTTAAAATTTAGCAGAAGCGAAAGTCTCCAAAAATGGCAATTTTCTTCATACTTTGCCACTGCTTAAAAGTACAGTCAACAGTTACAAGCAACAGACAGCAGAAGGGCACCAGATGCTTGAAAAAACAGCAAAACTTATTGATTAGAGTTAGACTGCGCCTTACTATTTCCAAATTCAGAAGTGTACCAAGATGCGATGTAACTAACGGCGAATTCAGAGACAACCGTATCAAAAGCGTCGAAACCATCATAGCGAAGACGCATACTGAAGAAATAAATATAAGGTTGCAACAGTTTGAAAATTTGGTTTTTGAATACTGCTGTGTGGGTGCACTTTGATCGTTGGTTTCAACTACAAAATGGTCTCAAAGAAATTTGAGCAACTTCCTAGATTTGTGGTTGTTTTTCATGCCGGTTTAGTTAAGCGGTCATCTTAAGTCATTCTTGTATTCTCGTGTTTTAAGCACTGCTTGCATCTACGTTTGGTGCATTTTTTATAATATACTGGATGATAGGAACAGAGTAAGGAGAAAATCGAAACTGATGACCTCTATTGTTAGTTCACTGTTCAATTTTGTAAATGTGAAATATCTTTCTAATTTTGTTTTTCTTCTCATCATGCTTCGTATTTTGTGGCTAAGTCAAGTTGTTAAGCTGTTTCGCAGTCCCAATTTCGAAATCTTTATAATTGGTTTTTTATGTTATCGACACTTTAATACCTTGTAGTTGTGAGAAACGTCATTAAAAACGGCACACGTGTCTTAAACACCTATCTTATGAGTATGGGTTCCTATTAAAATCTAGTCCATGCTGAACATCGGGAATAGATTTCAGTTCTATACTCATAACTTTTACAGAGAGTAATTGGACAAACCATCATTTGAAATGTCGCTCTCAAGCGGTGATGTCTCTCATACGTTGCCGTCTGTTGATATGATTAATGCTACGAGCAAGCTTCAGTTGGAAGCTGCTGAAGTACGTAAGAACAAACCGAACTGGAACTCGTATCTGAGGTAGTTATTTTGCTATAATTTTTTCACATCACCATTTCACTCTGTATAACACTGTTTAGATACGTATAATATATTTGAACAGTAGTCTGAGCCAGCTTTGAAAGTTTAAATTTTTAGAAGCCATATGATTGAACAAGAAGATTATAATTTTATATCCGCTTATGAATCTGCAAAGTCGAAGGCTGATCGTGATGCGCTGCTTAAATCCAACGAAGAACAATGTGCCCGTACACTAATAAATTTAATAACCACCGTTGCTAAGGACGAAAATGTTCGCTACGTATTGACTCTTTTTGACGACCTACTTCAGGTTTGAGTGGGATATCTCATTAAGAATGCACATACCGTTTGTTTAAACTAACGTTCTGAACAAGGTACTTTCAGGAAGATAAAAGCCGTGTGAAGATCTTTCATCACTACGCAGCGAAACAGAAAAGAAGTATTTGGTCTTGGTTTTTGACAATTCTTCAGCGACAGGACAATTTCATTGTCAACCAGGTACATACTGAAAGTGATTAGAAAATCGAGTGTCTTTACGAACCAGAAGCAGGGAAAATATGAGTTTTGTTCTTCGGGAGTTACTAACTGAAATAAGTTCTATTTTGTGAATTAATAACAAAGAAGTTTTTTTGGGTTAGAATATCGATCATTGACTGGATTTAGCGTGCACCGCTTGGTCATTTCTCCTCCTGTAATCCCACTAACTTTTGTATAGATGTCATCAGTAATGGCGAAATTAGCCTGTTTTGGCTCAGTCCTCATGGGAGGGAAGGAGCTGAACTATTACTTCAAGTTTCTCAAGGACCAGCTGAAGTCTTCTAACAATGAATATATCAACACAACAGCGCGATGCTTGCAAATGATGATGCGTATTGATGCTTACCGATATGCTTTTGTTGCAAACGATGGGATCACCAGGTAATCCCAAAACACTGGCTTTGACCAAAATTTTTTGGTAAAGTAGATTTTTTCTATATAAAAAGCAATTTAATTTTCCCCCCTACAAAATCGGCTTTTATTGGTAGACAACTGTAGTATTGAAACAAGAGAGGTTTTTACTCTTAGTCTTCTTTTATTGCAGCATTTTATCGACTTTAAGTGGTAAAGCGAACTTTCAGTTACAGTATCAATTGATATTTTCCTTATGGTGTCTGACGTTTAACGCTGAAATTGCTGAAAAAATACCTAGCAGCGGAGTTATACAAGTACTCGGGGATATTCTTTCTGAATCCAGCAAGGAGAAGGCATGAATATTTTGTGTCCAAGTACTAGGGTTTATTTGGGTTAGAAGAAATCAGTGTTTGTTACGGTTTAAGCTTAAAGTTATGTGTTTTGATCTAGATAAATAATAACTGTTTCAGGTGACACGCATCATTCTTGGCACTTTCCGCAATGTTCTTGAAAAAATTGAAGATCGAGAGTTGGTAAGGGAATGTGCCTTGCAAATGGTTCAATGCAAAACTCTTAAAACTTTGGAATTAATGGATGTGAAAAAATATGATGACATAGATTTACAAGAAAACATTGAATTTCTGTCGGAAAAATTGCACCTTTCAGTCCAGGATCTCTCATCTTTCGACGAATATGTGACAGAGGTGCGACTGGTCGCTCTGCATCCCAGTTTTCATTTACTACCTCTTATTTATAATTTCCTTGATAAGTTTTTTTTAGCTGAAGTCCGGAAGATTACAGTGGAGCCCTGTACACAAGTCCGAGAAGTTCTGGAGGGAAAATGCACAAAGATTTAATGAGAAAGATTTCGAACTAGTAAAGTTAGTCTTCCACTGTTGTGTGTAACGATCCGATTGGTGTTAGTTATGTCACTGGTTTTAATTGCAGGGCTCTAATCAAAATTCTAGAAGCACAGGCGGACTCCTTGATCCTTTGCGTTGCTGCCCATGACCTTGGAGAGTATGTAAGGCACTACCCAAGGGGAAAGAAGTTAGTCATCACATATTTGGCTAGCAAATCTATCCAGAATCTCTTCTAATGTTCCCTTCTTTTGCAGTCACTTAATGACCTCTAGAAACTATTTAGAACTATTTCTTTTTCCTGCAAGATTTCAGCAAAGTGGAGCAGCTGCAGGGTAAACAAGCGGTCATGAGATTGCTTTCCGCCGAAGATCCGAATGTTCGATACCACGCGCTGTTGGCAGTCCAGAAACTGATGGTCCATAACTGGGAATATCTTGGCAAGCAGCTGGACGCCGATGCCGGTATAATAGCTACCAGTTAACAACCTTCACGCTTCCAACTGAGGAGGGACATCTCCTTAGCTTACCCAGCTTGACATGTTTTATAGTTTGGCAGTATTGTAACGGCTGAAGGCCTTCATTTGGAAGCTAATACCGTGATCGTAAATTTATCGCAATGACGAGCAATCAGCTTACTTTGTAAAAAAGTACTTTGCTTTACCAACATTTGAATTTGGATGCATATCTTTTTAGTTGTGAAATCTAGACCCTTGCTCATTTGTGATACTACTGTAAAAAAAAAAAGGTACACTTCTACTCCTTCTCACACTTACTCTCAATCGTCCTTGAGGAACCCGTAACTGTTCCACTCGGCCCATTCTGTGGTAACGCTGAAGGTGAATAGAAGGCACTGCAAAAAGTTACCTTTAATAGGCTCTAATTTTAATTACAATGCTTTGGCCTAAACTTAACTGCAGAATGCCCGCCCCTCACCACCCAGCAAAAACACCTATGAGTTGACGAGCTGAAAAAACGCGGCTTTTCAAGTGTATATCTGTGAACAGAATGGTAGATAATGCAGCCTTCCAAACAGCCGTAACTGGCTGACAACGAGGACGATGTACGTGAAACAAAAGTGGAAACATGCTTTAATAAATTTCTGAGACGACTAACTGAAGAAGACTGGCTGTGTGAGGCGCGCATCTCAACCAGGCTTTATTCTGGAAATCCAACAACAAGAAACAAACAATTTAACGCCTGCGGCCGCCTCTACGAGCTTCCTTTGCCTTCGGAGGAAGGATGATGCCATCATACTGAAAGTTTGGTCAGTTTAAAAGAGCAGTGGCCACACTTGAATAAAAAATTTGAGAGTGAAAATTTGGATGTGATATCGGATACCTTTTGCTGGAACCACTTGACCGCTTCCTCTTTCGTTACCCGATGCTGGTGGCCGACACGACCCACTGCACGTCTGCGTTTCGCGACCCTTCCTCCCGGCCTGTCTAGTACAACATAGAAGTCCATACCATAAATACCGATGGCCGGATCATATTTAATACCCAAATCAATATGTTCCTGAATACCGAAGCCAAAGTTACCGGTATCAGAAAAGTTCTCACGATACAGCTCGTATTCCTTGACCTAAAAACAAGGCTCATCAGCGACAGATGTGGGGGGTAATCATGTAGAGAAGTCACTCAGAATCTCAGACTAGTTCGCAAAAGGGCTTATTGTTATTTTCATAATTTTGAAGTCTTTTACAGGAGATTGACACAAAATAATCGCGAAGGAATTCCCCATAGGATAAGAGTCAATCTGATTGTGAGAGTGGCAGACGGACTGCTATTACTCACTTTAAGGCCTCTTTCAATAATCTGTTCTGCTTTTGGACCCCTAACAGTGCAATGCACCGCTATTTTTTCATTACGCCGAATGCCAAATGACCTAACTGTGTACCGTGCCTTCGAAAAAACAGGAGTTTGTCCAGTCAACTGTTCTAAGACCTGGAAAAACAGTAAATAAATCAAACTTTTTTCGATTTGAAACACACTGTTTTAGTCCTAAACCAAAAATGGGATGTGAAACAAGCTCAACAAGAATACAAATGGAATAACAGAGCCGGTTGTAAAAATCTTTTGAAAACTAAAGCGGCAAAAAAAGCACATTAGAATGAGAGTCAAAGAATTCAACAAGCAAAACAAAAAGATTGTCTTTTCACCCCTCCTCGGCAACACTCCAAGAAGGTCGGCGAAGCCGGCAAGGCCAAAATTTCAACTATTAAACAAAAGTTCATAATTAAAATGTAATCAGAAAGACAAGCAAAAAGATGTTAGAAAACTCGCAGAAAAAAAAACTAACTTTAGAAGCACGTGTTAAACGATCCCCTGATTCTCCAACACATATATTCAGACATAACTTCTGGATCCTTAATCTACGCATAGGGTTCGCAGCTTTCTTTTCTCGTATTTCCGCCAGCTGTTCAGCTTTACCCATTACAACCGCTGTTTTCCAAAATCTATATTAGTAAACTGAATGTTAGAACACTGAATGACATATGGCTACAAGTCCTCAAAAACTTTCTAGTAAATTAATTCTGCGCGTAATAGAATGAAACTACACTGGTTTTTCGAGCAGATCTAGCAAAAATACAGACGTCCAAAAATATTTTGCTTCAGCTGAATATACCCATCAGCCTACAAATGCACTATGAGACAAAAAATTACAAATCTGAGTGTACACCTTCACTTCGGATTTTACTTTCTTTAAAATTCTATAGTGCAGAAATATCACAAGCATTGACATTCACCTAGACAATCCTCCCACATTACAATACTGAAACGCTATAAACGCAAGAAGCATAAGAAACAAATGAAGAGGAAAAAAAGGAACACTACAGGTTGCAAGAACCCTCATTACAATAAATTATTCTTCAGTTCTTTGATAGAGAAAACATCTCCCTTGAGCAAAAAAAGGTCACATTAAAATCCAAAGAAAAGGCGACGTTTGCGACCCGACAGAGCTTTCATAGTCACCCCCAATAAACTTTTAACAACCCTTTAACGGAAGTCTTAGAATTCTGGAGCAAATAATTCATCAATAACCAAGACTCTGAGGAAAAACCACTCACATCAGCACAGTCTACCTTCAGAAGCAAAAGTTATGGAGCGAGTTC